CCAGTGGTATAAATTTTATATTTGTGGGCTTTATAACAGTATAATTACAGTAGTTATAAACAATAAAATGATGTATAATTTTTCTCTCTCTTTTACAGGTTTTAGGGAAATATGGGTAATTTATTATTAACTTTTTTATTATGTCTCATAACTAGGCAAAAAAGGCTTATAGGATACCCATTTTGACTTTTTTTTTGTAGGTGTACAGGTTTTTAAGATTTTTTTTCCAAAAATGATGAGTTTTTGTTTGTTTTGGTTTATGCAGCATTAATTTTTAGTGAAATAAATAACAACAAGTTCCTTTTTTTATACCAGTAAAAAGAAATCTCAGGTTTTTTTTTATTTATTTTATTAGTTTTTTTTATAATTTATTTCATAATAGTAACTGTCATTTCTGTAATACATGTATATAACTGTTGAATGAAATATTTCAGAATTTCTGCTGTCATGGTCATATATTTTCTTCATGAATTATGAATTTAATTAAATTTTATCATTTATAGATCTAATTTAGATCAAATGATGATAAAGGAAAGACATCCTGGAGTTCCACGGCCTTTTTCGGCATTTTCATGTTGCCGACATCAAAAATGATATATGGGATATGATTTTATCATATCGTATAATACACGGCCCCATGCTGTGTCTGTTATGAAAACAATAGCGCACATGAAAGAATTTAAACTTTGAAATATTTCTTTGTCGGTCATTTTCTTTAACAAGACCCACAGCCGGACGGGGGCAACGCTCGACTTTTTACTTTTTCTAAACGCAAACATAGAAAGGTTTGAACATATCTTAACGTTTCCTTTTTATAAATTTAGTTGGTCTGTCTTGTCACATTAGTTTTGTTTATATATTTTGTATATATATATGAATAGAGACATTACGCAATTTCTAAAAATAGCAACATGACGCTATTTCTAAAAATAGAAACAATGACGCAATTTCTATAAATAGAAAAAATGACGCAATTTCTAAAAATAGCAACAATGACACAATTTCTATAAATAGAAACAATGACGCAATTTCTAAAAATAGAAACAATGACGCAATTTCTAAAAATAGCAACAATGACGCAATTTCTAAAAATAGAAATAATGACGCAATTTCTAAAAATAGAAACAATGACGCAATTTCTAAAAATAGAAACAATGACACAATTTTGCAATTTCTAAAAATAGAAACAACTAGACCTATCACTGAAGGTGATTAATACCCCCACCAGCAACTTTGACTTTTGAAAAATAAGTTGTCTGAAGAAAAATTTGAAATAAACCTACAGTAAATAAAATTTCAATTTATTGCAATCCCAACTATCTTGATTTTGATATAAGCTTGCTATACACCAAGTTTTGAAAACAATATCTCATTCCTAACCCTAGTAATTGTCTGGAAACCCTTTTTCTATTTTAGTAACTGTGACCTTGAACCCAGGGAGTCCAAATGCAATACAAGCGCGGTCTTCATGTAAGCTTGCTAAACACAAGTTTGATTACAATATCTCATTCCTAACTTTAGTTATTGTCCGGAAACCATTTTTCTATTTTTAGTAACGGTGACCTTGACCTTGGCCCAAGGGGGGTCCAGATGCAATACCAACCGGGGTCTTCATATAAGCTTGCTATATACCAAGTTTGATTACAATATCTCATTCCTAATTTTAGTTATTGTCCGAAAACCATTTTTTATTTTCAGTAACTGTGACCTTGACCTTGGCCCCAGGGGGTCCAGATGCAATACCAACCGGGGTCTTTCATATAAGCTTGCTATATACAAGTTTGATTACAATATCTCATTCCTAACTTTAGTTATTGTCCGGAAACCATTTTTTTTTCTATTTTAGTAACGGTGACCTTGACCTTGGCCCCAGGGGGTCCAGATGCAATACCAACCGGGTCTTCATATGAGCTTGATGTACACCAAATTTGATTACAATATCTCATTCCTAACTTTAGTTATTGTCCGGATACCCTTTTTCAATTTTAAGTAACGGTGACTTTGACCTTGGCCCAGGGGGTCCAGATGCAATACCAACCGGGTCTTCATATCAGCTTTCTATATACCAAGTTTTGATTACAATATCTCATTCCTAACTTTAGTTATTGTCCGGAAACCATTTTTCTATTTTTTAGTAACCGTGACCTTGACCTTGGCCCAGGGGGTCCAGATGCAATACCAACCGGGGTCTTCATATGAGCTTGATGTACACCAAGTTTGATTACAATATTTCATTCCTAACTTTAGTTATTGTCCGGAAACCATTTTTCTATTTTTAGTAACGGTGACCTTGACCTTGGCCCCAGGGGTCAAGATGCAATACCAACCGGGGTCTTCATATCAGCTTTCTATATACCAAGTTTGATTACAATATCTCATTCCTAACTTTAGTTATTGTCCGGAAACCATTTTTCTATTTTTAGTAACGGTGACCTTGACCTTGGCCCCAGTGGGTCCAGATGCAATACCAACCGGGGTCTTCATATCAGCTTGCTATATACCAAGTTTGATTACAATATCTCATTCCTAACTTTAGTTATTGTCCGGAAACCATTTTTCTATTTTTAGTAACGGTGACCTTGACCTTGGCCCCAGGGGGTCCAAATGCAATACCAACCGGGGTTTCCACATAAGGTTGCTATATACCAAGTTTGATTACAATACCTCACTCCAAACTCTAGTTATCGTCTGGAAACCATGATGTGGACCGACCGACGGACCGACCGACCGACCAACCGACAAGCTGACTCCTATATACCCCCCCTAAACTTCGTTTGTGGGGGTATAATGACGCAATTTCTATAAATAGCAACAATGACGCAGTTTCTATAAATAGAAACAATGACGCAATTTCTATAAATAGCAACAATGACGCAATTTCTAAAAAAAGAAACAATGACGCAATTTCTAAAAATAGCAACAATGACGCAATTTCTATAAATAGAAACAATGACGCAATTTCTAAAAATAGCAACAATGACGCAATTTCTATAAATAGAAACAATGACGCAATTTCTAAAAATAGCAACAATGACGCAATTTCTATAAATAGAAACAATGACGCAATTTCTAAAAATAGAAACAATGACGCAATTTCTAAAAATAGCAACAATGACGCAATTTCTAAAAATAGAAACAATGACGCAATTTCTAAAAATAAAACAATGACGCAATTTCTAAAAATAGAAACAATGACGCAATTTCTAAAAATAGAAACAATGACGCAATTTCTAAAAATAGAAACAATGACGCAATTCTATAAATAGAAACAATGACGCAATTCTTGTTGTTGTTGTTGCAAATATATATATACACACACATACACACACCAATAAATATATAATTATGGTCATTTAATGCACAAATCTGAGAAAATTCAGTAATTTAACCTTCAAGGTCAAGGTCATTAAAGAGCCCAAGCAAATTTGGGTTTGATAAACAACAAGGTCTGGTCCTTAAGAATGTTCTGTTATAATATGAAGTTGATCCCTTCAAAAATAACAAAGTTACAGCCAATAATAGTCAAAAAAATGAAAATTTCAATAATTTGACCTTCAAAGTCAAGGTCATTAATGAGTGAAGGTCAAGGTCTGTCTAGTTATTTTTAAGGGATATCCCTGAAGATAATTATGTTCAAGTTTGAAGACAATCCATTCAAAAATAACAAAGTTACAGCCAATAATAGCCAAAAAAATGAAAATTTCAATAATTTCACCTTCAAAGTCAAGGTCATTTATGAGTGAAGGTCAAGGTCTGGCGGGTTATTTTTAAGGGATATCCTTGAAGATTATTATGTTCAAGTTTGAAGACAATCCATTCAAAAATAACAAAGTTACAGCCAATAACAGCATGAACAAGCAAAAATTGGACTTTTAACCTTGAAGGTCAAGGTCATTTATGGATGAAGGTCAAGGTTAGTGTGGTCTACTGAAAGGTCTTGTCCCAAGGGTTGTTGTGGCCAAGTATGAAGACAATACACCAAGAAATAAAAAAGTTATGATCCTGGTACAAGTTTGCGAACGGCAACGGCAACGCCGACCCGACTATAACAATACCTCTACTTTTTTTTTCAACAGGTAAATATTGAAGTCGGCGAAAGTCGCTTCTATTGAGATCATGCATGTCGGCGATTCTCGCTTACATGCGGTAATCGATAAAGCCGTCGATTCTCGCTTCTATCAGGGAATGGTAAAAGACGGCGATTCTCGCTTCTATAAGGGAAAAGGTTAATAAGTAGTTCTCTTTAAAAATTGACGTTTCATTTATTTAAATGGGAACTGTAAAATTATTTTTACCTGCAGCCATAGAAAAATGCATAAGCTTTCAGAAAATGTATTATTTTATTGATTTTGATATCTGGTTAATAAGTTTTACTTGCTACAAGTTTTAAGTTTAACAAGCACGTGTGATATTTGAACTGGCTAAGAAGTTGCCTATCTCTGTTATCTATGTCTCTGAAAATGCCAACTGTTATTCAGTTTGTCAAGCTAAAAACTTAGAAAAAAAGAACATTGTTAGGTGTAACTTTAGAATTTTGGAGATGTCATAATAAGTGATATCATAGAAAAATTCAAATCATCTTATGGTAGATTTTTGAAAATGCTATATTATTAATACCACTTAAACAGAATAAATGTTTTGGAACAAAATATTATGCTGCTATTTTCAACTGTTTCAACCAGACAGCAATGATTTTGTGCATGCCCCTTTCAATCTTGACATGATTACAGAAACATATTTCTTTCAAACAGGTATTTTGGAAATACATGACATTGTACATGTACTCTTTTTCAAATTTGAAACATTAATATTGTAAAGCTAAGGCAGCAGATACATTGTATGCAACTTTAGAAACTTTAAAGTATCATTCAATTATTAATACAATGTATATAGAAGATTTGTTTGTTTCATATGTATGATTGATTATGTATTACTTGTGAGCACCTGCTATTACACTTTCAATATTACATTAAAATAAAGAAATATTCAACATGTATTACCTTTTAGCATGAGACAATAAAATAATGCGGCCTCTGTTCTCTAAAGTTGTAGCACTATCTTCGTTCTTCAGACTTGACTGTAGCTCACTAAGTTTACACAGTTCCCCGACAGCTTGAGTCAATCCATTAACTACATTATACTCATCAGAGTCTGTGGGAGCACCAACTTCAGTGAGAGCAATCATCACCTGTAACATACCAGGAAATCTTTGACACCTTCAACAATTCAAGCAAAATTTAATAATTTAATCTTCAAAGTTAATGTCATTTAAAATCAAGGTCATGTTCAGTTTGACCTATTAAATGGTTGTAATAGTCAATTTTAGACAACATTTACAGAATCATTGATGGGTCCATGCCAAATACCTAACGATATGCACATGTAGACCTTATGATAATTATTGACGAACACAAATAGCACACAAAGATAACCAGATGTCCAGACTGACGGACAGTTTCAAACCAGTATACCCACACAATTGTGCAAGCGGTATAATAGATACATTTTTAGAAATGTTTTAACTAAACTTAAGGGCAGAAAATTCTATGTACAGGGACTACCTTGGACTGAAAATTTAGGCCTTAAGAAAAACTGAAATTGAGGGAGAAGTGATCATCAAATCGAGTTATATCATTGGATTTTTTTTCTAATTTTATTTCACAATATATACATGTACACCTTTATATGTACATGCATATAAAATATACATGTATATGGCACAAATGTGTATATGATCATATTTAATGAAGTATTAGTTGCTCAATAAAGTTTATTTAAGCATTTGATTTACATCAACACAACATTTTTTAATTTTTTTTTAGGTTCAACAGTTTCTGACTCTTACTTTTAAATGCAATTTATTAAGAAGAAAAGTTCTTTAATTCATAATAATTATCCAAATTCTATCAATTTACATCAGTTTTAATGATGAATATTACTATCATAAATGTAATGATGATAACAAACGTATTATGGGATATTGTAAATCAAACAGGACATTATAGGGGAACTAGTAAATCAAACAGGACATATAGGGGAACTAGTAAATCAAACAGGACATATAGGGGAAATTGTAAATCAAACAAAACCGTGAAAACATTTAGGGAATACTGTAAATCAAACAAAACGTACAGGGGATATTGTAAATAAGACACAAATATACGTTTGAGGTAACTTAATTATCAATTAGCTTGCTTTTTCATGTTTTTATCATCTGCTGCATTCCAGCTTTAATTTACCGTATAATCAATGCGCTATTGTTTGCGATGTGGATTTCCAAGTGTGAATTCCAAAATGTCGCTATGGCCACGCTTCAGTGCGTGTGCTAATTAAGTCAGATTACACAATTAAATCTGCCTCCAGGCAGTATTATGAGTGGAGAAATATACATGTCAGACATTTCATAGAAATTTTAGGGCGACTAGAATTTCGCTTTTCAGATCATATAGGGCGAAGTGAAAATATTTACGGCGAAGTTTTCGTCTGACTTAGCCCTGAGCGCAGTCCCTGATGTAACAGAATCATCAATGACAGGCTTAATCATATTCATATTTGCTTGTCTAACTTCTTTTCTTTACACACAAATTAAAATACATATGAACAAGATATGTTTGTAAAACATGTATGCCCCCTATCGGCAGCCAATTAGTCATGTGATCAGGTTATTATGACTGACTTTTGACCTAGTGACCAAAAAATCAATAAGAGTTATCTACTGGTCATGACTAGTCACAAGGTAATTTTGACCACAAAGGTTGCGTGCAGCAATTTTATGACAAAGTTATATCAAATCTTACCAAAATATATATGCATAAATTTAATGAATCGTGTAGGTCTCATTAATGACAGCCAAGTTGTTATATTACCTAAGACTTTAAAATGTGTATACTAAAAGGATTTTTAGTTTAATAAAAAAATATCAACCAAGGCAACTTGAGTTGTTGAGTTATTGGTCAGAAACAGTCTTTACATACAAGGTCAATATGACATTGACCTTTGACCCTTAAATCAATAGGGGTTATCTACTGGCCAAGACCAATGCACCTGTGAAGTTTGAAGGTAAAGGGCCCATGAGTTGGGATATTGATCAGAAAGCGTTGTTACCTATAAGGTCAATGTGATCTTGACCTCTGACCCCTTAATGCCAAAAATCCATTGAGGTCATCTTCTGACCAAAAGCAATGCATCTGTAAAGCTTGAAGGTCAAGGGTCCATGGGTTGTCCAGTGAAATACAAGGTCAATGCAACCTTGACCTTTGTTCCCCCGTCCACAAAATCAATAGGGGTCATCTACTGGCCAAGACCAATGCACCTACAAAATTTGAGGGCCAACTTGTCAAGTTATTGATCAGAAACAGTTTTTACATTCAAGGTCAATGCAACATTGATCTTTGACCCCTTGACCCCAAAATCAATAGGGGTCATCTGCTGGTCATGAACAATCAGCAAACCAAGTTTGGAGTTCCTAGGCCTAAGAATTCTTTAGTTATTGATCTGAAATTGTTTTTACCTACAAGGTCAATGTGACCTTGACCTCTGACCCTTTGACCCCAAAAGTCATCTACTGGTCATGAACAATCATCATACCAAGTTTGAAGTTCCTAGGCCTAAGCGTTCTTTAGTTATCACACGGAAACCATTTGGTCTACGGACCGAAGGACCGACAGACAAATGCAAAGCAATATACCCCCAATTTCTTTGAAGAAGGGCATAAAAATGTTTAGAATATTAAGACAACAAGAGTGAAATGATGGCCCAGGATCACTCATCCGAGATAAATTTCTAAACAAGAGGGCCATGATGAGCCTAAATCGCTCACCTGCGTCAGAATACATGTTTATTTATGTTTTTTAAAGAAAGATTTTTTTGTTTTAACTATATGCATATAAGGAAGATCAATGAACCACCAGGCGGGGCCAATTTTGACCCCTGGACTTTTTTTTATAAATTAGAAGACACTCACTAGAAGATGTTTCATGCCAAACATCTAAGCTCTAGCTCTTTGGGTTTTTTTTTAAAAATGTCTTTTTGTTTTTACTAACAGACAAATAAGAAAAATCAATGATATTCCGGGACGGTGCCAATTTTAACCCCAAGGCTTTTATTTGAACAAATTTGGTAGACATACATAAGAAGATGTTTCATGCTTAATATTTAAACTCTAGCTCTTTGGGTTTTTTAAACAAGAGCTGTCGGGAAGGACAGTAACGCTCGACTATTCTTAGTGCTTGATAGAAAAAAAGCCTTGATAATGTAAAATTTTCTAAGTTAACAAAAGGGCATAATTTTTCTTTAAATCCATGTTACAGTTATAGGCCTTGATGAGAGTCCTATTATGCTCTCAGAGAAGAGTATAAAATTTCAACTTGTTTCAAGGCCAGATGTAAATAGAATATGAAAATATCTGAGGTTGTATGCAAACTTAAATGTAAATTCTAAGTTGAAAATGGGGCATTATTCTGCCAAATGCTTGATACAGTTACCTCCTCCTGTCTACAGGTTGGGGTCATGATGGTGAACAAGTGTACACAGTTTAAAAGCCATATGTCAATGGACTTTGAAAATATTTGAGGTATTAGAAAAACTTTAACGTAAATTCTAAGTGGAACAAGAGCCACCGCCGGGCGGGGGCAACGCTCGACTTTTTACTTTTTCTTAACGTAAACATAGAAAGGTTTGAACATATCTTAACGTTTCCTTTTTATAAATTAAGTTGGTCTGTCTTCTCACATTAGTTTTATTTATCTATTTTGTATATATATATATATGTATAGAAACACGCAATTCTATAAATAGAAACACGCAATTCTATAAATAAAAACACGCAATTCAATAAATAGAAAGACTAAATTCTAAAAATAGAAACACTCAATTCTATAAATAGAAACACGCAATTCTATAAATAGTAACAAGCAATTCTATAAAAAGCAACATGCAATTCTATGAATAATAACACGCAATTCTAATAATAGAAACACGCAATTCTAAAAATAAAACACGCAATTCTATAAATAGAACACGCAATTCTAATAATAGAAACACGCAATTCTAAAAATAGAAACACGCAATTCTATAAATAAAAACACGCAATTCAATAAATAGTAACACGCAATTCTATAAATAGAAACACGCAATTCTAAAAATAGAAACACGCAATTCTATAAATAAAAACACGCAATTCAATAAATAGAAACACCCAATTCTAAAAATAGTAACACGCAATTCTATAAATAGTAACACGCAATTTCTATAAATAGTAACACGCAATTTTTAAAAATAGAAACACGCAATTCTAAAAATAGAAACACGCAATTATAAAAATAGTAACACGCAATTTCTAAAAATAGTAACATGCAATTATAAAAATAGAAACACACAATTCAATAAATAGAAAGACTAAATTCTATAAATAGTAACATGCAATTCTAAAAATAGAAACACGCAAATCTAAAAATAGAAACACGCAATTCTAAAAATAGAAACATGCAATATACATTGTTGTTGTTGATGATGATGATGATGATGATGATGATGATGATGATGATGATGATGATAGATATGTATAAATATACACACAAACACACCAATAAATATATAATTATGGTCATTTAATGCACAAATCTGAGAAAATTCACTTCAAGGTCAAGGTCATTAAAGAGCCCAAGCAAATTTGGGTTTGATAAACAACAATGTTCTGTTATAATATGAAGTTGATCCCTTCAATAATAGCAAAGTTACAGTCAGTTACTGCCAAAAAAATGAAAATTTCAATAATTTGACCTTCAAAGACAATGTCATTAATGAGTGAAGGTCAATGTCTTTTGGTATATTTTTAAGAGTTATCCTTGAAGATTATTATGTTCAAGTTTCAAGACAATCCATTCAAAAATTACAAAGTTACAGCCAATAATAGCCAAAAAAAAAATGAATATTTCAATAATTTGACCTTCAAAGTCAAGGTCATTTATGAGTGAAGGTCAAGGTCTGGCGGGTTATTTTTAAGGGATATCCTTGAAGATTATTAAGTTCAAGTTTGAAGACAATCCATTCAAAAATAACAAAGTTACAGCCAATAACAGCATGAACAAGCAAAAATTGGACTTTTAACCTTGAAGGTCAAGGTCATTTATGGATGAAGGTCAAGGTTAGTGTGGTCTACTGAAGGGTTGTTGTGGCCAAGTATGAAGA